CTTAAACTTGGCAGAGCAAACATGCACAAAAATACCATCTCTACCCTAGGAGGTTTCAACCTGAAGGTGGGCTGGAGAAGACCCTGGTCTGGGAGTGGGGACAACCAGGCACCTTCCTGCCCCCATGCCTTGGGGCACAGCACTTCTCTGCTCTCCTGGGCACTGTCAGTCTGGTTTTCTTGACTGAGCATCTCTAAGATGTGAGTGTTGTGTTAGGGCAGCATTCTGCTGGTGCTGCCTGGTGAGGATGGCCATTCTTTAGGGGGTGGGCAAATGGCATGTTTTTTTTGGATTGCAAAATGTTATCCTTTGTTTGAAACCCAGGCTCTGTGGTGCTCTGATACTGCATGAATACTTGAGAACAGGGAGCCCCTGGTGGTCTAGTGGTTAAGGGCGCGGCGCTGTCTCCGCCGAGGCCCGGGTTCGATTCCTGGTCAGGGACACTCCCCGGGCAGATGGAGCTCGTTAGCCCTGTAAGGCAATCTGTCTACGTCCTGAGGACCTCGCTGCCACCGTCCAAGCTCGCTTGGCCCCGGCAGATGAACCTTAGGATTAAAGGGTGGGCTCAGTTCCGCGCACACTGTGCCTCACCTAAAAAATCCAATGTGCAGGCTGGAAGGTGTAGAAACCTTCCCCGGATCTTCGCTAGTGAAGGCTGGCCATTATTATTATTACTTGAAAACAAAGTCAATTATCCTTGTTTGGTCAAGAAGCTGGGCTGCATTTGAGTGAGAAAGTGAAACTGCCTCCCCTTGCTCAGGATCTCTCTGACCAGGCTTGGTCAGACAGCAGACGGTGGGGGAAAGAGAAAAAAGTGAAAATAAAAATCAGTGAGACTGTTTTGAAAATCTTCGACTTACAGTAGACTGAGGGAGTGCGAACAGTGTGAAGCCAGTAGTTTGTGCTTGAAAATATGGGATCCAATCCTGGTGTCAGTTACAGACATGTAAATCACAGGCAACGCTGCTGGCAGTGATGGGGAGCTGCTGAAAGGTTGCTCCAGCATGGGACCCGCAGGCTTACTGGCATAGTTGTGCTGATTCCTCTCATTCCTTAGCCACCCTTTTTTTCTCTCCGTCTTTGGGCATTTAAAATAATAGGAGTGCAACGTGGCTGATCCTGCTTTTGGGTTGTTTCTCAACCATTGTGGCCCAGTGGTTCCAGCTCAGGGTGACTCCTGGCTACTGGGTAGGGCTGTCCGCAACTTGCTCAGCCTCTGTTTAAATGTGTTCTGCTCCAAATGATCTTTTCATTTTCTGTAATACAGCAGTCTCTGGGAGAGCAGGATGCTACCCCTTGAGTGCAAGTTGGATCCTATTCCTTCTGTGCTGGTGTGCAGCTGGAGTGTTCTCTCCTTTTCCCCCCTGCTCTCCCAACTCATTTCCCCCCTCTTGTTTTAGTCACACTTAATGGACCCCAGGACAAACATGAAAATCAAGTGTGACAGCAAAGATGCAAATGTGTCCCCTGGTCCCTAAGCCTGTGCCACTGCTGCAGGACCTTGCGGCTCCTGCGGGGCAATGCTGTAGCACCAGGCTCTGTGCCCTACAGCACGTAGGGGCTGCTAGGGAGTTTATGGGAGCTCATTTTCCCCGTTGGAGCTGATCGTCTGTGCTACAGCCGGCATCAGCCTTCCTCCAGGACAAGGGCTGGACCAGGAGCTCGGAAGTGATAAGTCCCATTATGGCTAATTTTGACACATGGGGTTGCGGTGGATTTGGAAGCAACCCCGTGCTGAGTACTATCTATGAGGGGTGTGTGCTTCCTTGAGGACTGAAACTCACTGTTCACAGCCACTGCTTTGCACCAGCACAGGATCTGACCTCCCAAAAGGCAGCAGCCAGGCTACTCGTTGTGGTGACTCCCTGAGCAGATGCCGCTGCTGGCAGAAGAGCAGAGGAAACGCATCTCCAGCTTTTGTTGTCTTGCGTGATCTTTTTATTAGATAACTTTGAATCGAACAGTTTAATTTTAATATATGAAGCCTGAGAAGCAAATACAGAAAACTATTAGGGCTGGATCCTGCATGTGTCAATGTCCTAGGGTAGAAAGAGGAGCCCCTGTCTCCATGTGGCTATGTTCAAGTATGACGCTACTGATTTATATAAGCTGAATTTTAAGTCAGATTTGGACTCTTAAGTTGAGGGGAGTATTTAAGGGATCCAGTTTTCCAGTGTGTGAGAATGTGCATACCTCAGATGGCTCCCTCGGTGCTGGCGGTGGCCAGAGCGCCTGAGGGTCAGGGCTCTGGCGGTGGAGGAGATAACGTGAGATTTCTTAGTTTGGGAACTTTTGGCCAGCAAATAACAAATATATTGGCACAGAGTGGGAAAGACATAAAAAGACGTATGTCAGAACAGGGCAGACTTTTAAGTGGTTTTCATTTAAAATGAAAAGGTCAGATTGAATGAGGTTGGCGTCTGGGGAACTGTTCGTGCACCTGCCAATCATACAGGGGGGACCCGTGTCAGTTTGTGCTGATGGCTGACTGGCTGAGAGCTTGTCTGTGCTTAAAAATTGGTGACTGGAACAGTTAAAATGACAATTTTCCTTGTGGCTGTCAGGTTGAACCATCTGCTTCATGAAGGAATGGAACAAAGGATCCCAGCATGAGGCCACTTTATCCCAGTTCAACTGGTGTTTGCACTTGGGCTTCAATAAGTACAGCTATACTGATTTAAAAAACAATAATAATAATAAACAGGCTCTGAATATTGGTAACACTTTCAAGTGTAAAGAAATTAAAAGTGAATGCAGCTTTTGAGTAGTTAGAAAAACAGTTGCTATTCAACCAGGCCATTGTGAGAAGTGTAATTAGCACTTGCTGAAATTATTTTCACAGGTAAGATTTTCATTTAAATGGATTGGGGTGTCTGGTTACTTCCATTTCTACGTGGCCACAGTAAAGTTATGTTTTTCTGAAAGTGCTGACTGCTGCTCTTTGAAACTTGGAATTCTTGTGGAGGTTTTCAACTGTCCATTCCTGAAAAATCTGAACAATCTAAGAAAACTCAAGCTGTAACAGAGGATTGATGCTTAAATTCAGGCATTGTAAACTACTGGGTTTAGATTTGAATCTGCAAACAAGAAAACATGCTTTCTATACTCTCCTTATGTGTTAAATTTATGTTTATTTTTTTCTTGAGAAATACTGGTTCTTACTGTCAACAATACAGCATCAATATTGTCAGCCAATGGGTGAATGAACTGCTTCTGATCATTATGTAACAAGGTGACGGGGGTAGTTGGTGTGGAAAGTAAAGCCAGGAAGACACAGTTCAATTAGCGAAGTCCTATCACTGACCTTGTAAACATTTTGTGAATTAAACCTGAGAGAGACAATCTCGAGCCAAGATTTTTTAAACACAAGTTGGTTCCCAGGAAGTATTGTCTTAGCTGGAGCTCCTGGAGGTGCTGTTATGAGTTGAATTGAAATGGTGTTGGAACCAGGGGGGAATGTTGTTGTCTTCTGCCTTTGCAGATAAGACCAAAGGGCATTTTGCCAGGAGCATGTGGGAAGGACCTAAATTGTATGTAACTCTACATCACTTTTAAATGAAAAGTAAACATACAAAACCATAATATTTGCTTGTACTTGTCTCCTCATTGATGAATGAAGAAAAATTGTTCTTTGGCTGAGTTCACCAGCAGTAAAACCCTGCAGTTACTCATCTTCATCCCAAGTCTGCAGTGAGTGGGAGAGGCCATTGCAATCTCCAGTTGAATTTGTCCTCATCACACCTGAGGGGAGCACTGATGGTCCTGGGAACTTTTATACCTGCCCATCACTGCGAGGAATCAGGGCTGGGTGCCGCTACAGGGACCATGGGACTGAGTGCAGCTCTGTCTACTCTTGTGATGTTGGCATAGTGGAGATCTACCACTACTTAGGAGATGCAAGAGCCCTGTTGCTCTCCTGGCTGCTATGGTAACAAGTGTGGCATGGGAGACAAGGGGTACTGGGGTGCTGGCAGCAGCAGGAAGGCATCTCGCTGTGTGACAGGGAGGAGGGACCTGGACTATGAGCCACCAAGACGCTTTTGTGTTTTGCTGCATGTTGGTTGTAGATTTGTGGGCTCACATGCACTCTCATGAGCATTGCAGGTAAAACAAATGCAAGTCTGAACTGAGCTTTTCCATAGTTACAACAACAAATAGCAGTAACTTTCTCTGCTGAGCTGAGATGACAAGCCAAGCCTGTGCTTGTCGTGGGCTGAGACAGGGCTGTCAGAGTGACCAGGATGTGGCTGAGAGGGAATGCTGACTGGGGGCAGGAAGGAGTGTGCGATTCAGATGCTGCTGGTCCCCGTGGGCTGCACCCTGCCATGTGTCCTGGCATGCCAGTTCAAAATGGCGGTCACGTGGCCTGGTTTTCCCCTCTGCTCTACCTTCATCTTCTGCAGAAACAAAAAACCAACACTGAGCTGGTCACATCAAGAAAGGGTAGTGTCTACTTCTCAGCTATCGGAAAGAGTGAGACAGTCCCCAGTGGTAACTGGGCAGAGCTCCTTAGAAAAAAGACTGTGCTGAGGGGGAGGGCTGGGGGTGTAACTCTGCTTACAGCTCACCCCCGTGAGCTTCAAAATGCATTAGATGATGCCTTCTAGCTCCCTCACTGTACCTGAGGTCAGGGAGATGAGTGATGGATTCATCCTGTTCTACTATTTTATGCCTCATTTTGCATCTCCTTGTCCCTCCCCCTTCTCAGTGGCATTAAGAGCAGTAAAGGAGTAGGTGACTTGAGGAGGTGTGAGTTGTTGGCCAAGCTATGGCATCTGACGTTTCTGGTCATTGCTGGTTGTTAGCCCAGTTCAGGGTGGTTGGGCTTGCTTTTGGGGGTGCTGAAAGGAGTCCAGGAATCTGAAGGCTTCTGCTTAAGAAAGCTGGGGAGGAAAATGCTATGTTTCCCAGAAGCTGTGTGGGTTAAACTGCAAGTTTTGGAGACAAGCCGTTGGGAGGCCCATCCAGTGTGCATCACTTGAGTGTCTCTCTCTTTGCAGGGCTGGGAAAGAAACCCGAAGTCGTGAGTCTGGAGGAGCCCTGCGTGTTTCCAAACGCCCTGCTCTGAGTTCATCCCACCAGTAAGGCTGTGCAGCGTGAGAACTGGTACGTAAACATGATTCACAGGCACAAGGGGCAACTTCTCAGAAGGATGTCACGCCTCTTCTGTCAGTGGCACCTTGTTTAGGGATCTCAAAGTTTGGAGGGGGAGTGGGATCATTGGGAAAGAGGAGACAAATTGATGGTTGCCTAGCGGTGCTTACACCCAGAGGGTTTGGTGGGGAAGGGCTCAGCAGTGAAAAGCTGTGAGTGTCCAGAAGTCATTCCAGGCTATGGTGCTGAGGCTTTAGACGTGCTCTGCTGAGCAGTGTGTTGTGTCCCAGCACGCATGGATAGGAGCTGTGGGGGTAATGACAAATGCACGCACCAGAAATGCAGATACACACACGCTGTACAAGTGTAGGCGCATGGAAACAAAGATGGCAATGCATATATAGTATATACTATACAGTGGCATATGAGAGCTTGGGGGTGTATATACCAAATGTCTGTATATACTATATATGGCGATAAAAGAATGCATATGCATTCATGTTCTCTTTTTTTTTTTTTCTTTCTGTCTCTTCTGTCTTTCTGTGGAGCTGTTGCAAAACTACCAGATTCAACCTCCTGGGAAGCCTTTTTGGCCAAGGTTTTACAAGCCAGCACCTGCTTTGCCTGCCTGACTTCTTTCTATATTTATTCCCCTGCACCCGGTTTTTGCCTTTGCCTGTGGAACTGTCGCAAACATTTGTGCTGGCTTTTGGCTGCACAGGACTTCAGCTTGCAAGTCCTAAGTCTGCTTTTGTGCATGGAGGAGGGGAGTAGGAATTTGTGTGTGTAGTTGTGCATGTGAATGTATGAGCATCCCTGGTCCTTGCTGTCTGCATTATGTGGTCAGTATCCCTGTGATGCTGCAGCAGTCCCTGTGTTCTGTAAGCCAGGCAAGTTGTGCTCTCTGCCCCTTCAAGATGTTTTTATGAATCAGATATTCTCAGTTCTCTTGCTTATGTAATGTCATTTAAATGAAATTAGCCACGCCTGATCCAGTGGCTGCTTTATAATGATCTGTACTGCTGTGCAGGAGACTTGAGTTGGATTTTATTCCCAGGACCCCAAGATTTCACTTCCCAGCCTTAGAACTGTGGCAAGGAGGGGGATTTGTGTTGCCAGGTAGCAGGGAGCTCCTGGTGAGGCTGTGGTTGGACATGGATGTGTCTGTCCCTCTGTTTCTCTCCTCTCTGTCATTTGGGGTGGAAGGTGCTCTGTAGCAGAGGCACTGAACACCAGCTCAGTTAGGTACCTCTGATTAAAGTAAGCACAGGGAGAGAGTATAATGCCATTTCAGCTGGGAAATGGAGGGGAGATCCTAGTGCTGTCTTGGGGAATGTGAAGCTGCGGGAGTAGCTGCATTGTGAGTCTCCCATGAGCAAATGCTGCTTGGAGGAGACACGTGCTCACTCCCGGTCTGATGGGTACAACTTGCACATATTGAAAAGCAGCACTGGGCTGCCTGCCAGGAGCTGGGAGATGGCTTGTCCTCATGTGCTCAGGCCCCTGAGCTCCCACCCCCTCTAACAGCTATATTTATTTCTGACACGGGAGTCCCTCTAAGGTCACAAAAGCATTAGGCCCAGGTTTCAGCCTCAAGAGCCATAAAACGTACCCTGCTTGACCCCCCGTGCAAAGGCAGAGGCAGTGTGAGCAACCCACATTCCCCTGGGTTTCATTTCCCTGTCCCCTCTGTGTGTGCCACTGCAGCCTGCATTCCTCTCCCATTCCGTAAGCCCTTTGCCTCTCGCACTGACACAGCTAATATTTCCCTGCTGGCAGGGCAGGCGAGGTGGTGGCATTTAACTGTTAGGGAGAACTTTGATCTGTTCACGCTGTAGGACCCCAGAGCTGTAAGGGCTGGTGCACGCCTGTGGTGCTCTTCCAGGTGTTCCCCTTTTGTACTTTGGCTCCCTTTCTTGACAGATAATTCTCTACTTCATTCCACTGCTTGTCCTTGCAAGAAGCAATACCCTAGGAATTGTTTTCTACAAGGGGCTGGAAAACCGAGTCAGAATTCATAAGACTTGCACCTACCTTACCCTTCTTACCTTAGTTTTTGAGTATTTTCTTGCACAGTCACTACAGTGTTCAGAATATCTCCTGTTTCTGACCATGGAGAAAGCTCCTGGTAGCCCTGCTGCTAGCTGGAGCACACAGCTCTGGTAGAGGTTTTAGTGGGTTTTTTGAAAAATAATTAATCAGCTACCCATTGAGAGCTAGTCCCAACCTGCAGTATGTTGAGGTTGTCCTGGTGTACCACTTAGTGCCACTTGGACTGTTGGCTCTTTAAAGCTGCCTTCAGGACTACCAATGTAATGAACATGTGCTGTTGCTCTCTGGCACGGTTTATTTTTTTGCAGCGATAGCAGTGTAACACATGTGGTTTGTGTTCTAAAAGGAGGAAACTTTGTTGTCTTCTAAAGCAAGGGTTTACATGTTTTCTTGTCATCTGTGATAGCGGGTGCTAAACTCTTGCTGCCTGACCCCTACTCAGTTACTGGAGGTAATTGTAGAGCCTCTGTCAACGCAGCTCCTCCCAAAGCCTGTGCTTCAGCACCAGTGGAAGCCAGATGTACTAAAATGTCGCTTTTTACAGTTTGTTTTGGCCATACATGGGCAGAGTCAGCTCTGGAATTCCTTCCCTATAAATTCAATAGCATCTTGTGGGTGGTGCTGGGGAATCACTTTGGTCTGGTTGGATCGCCTCGCCTCAGCAGCCTGTTCCCCTTGAAAATGTCCTGCTTTGCACATTCCTGAGAGGCTGCCTGCTCCTGGAGCGATGGCTGCAGCTCCCAGGAGGCTGTTGTCCCATGCTGGCAGGCATGGTCACTCCCCTGCTGCCTGCAGGTCAGCCGTTGCAGCCGAGGACTGATGCTTGTGGGAGCATTGGCATGGGAATATTGCTCTGGTGTGCATGCAGGCTCTGCAGGGACACGTTTTACAAAGCACCAGCTCGATGAGCCAGATAGGGGAGATTTCCTTGCACCAGATGAGCAGCCGGTGTGGGATGTGGCAGCAGGACCTCTGTAGTGTGACAGAGGGCTGAGCCTTGTCTTTTCTGATGCCAAGCTAGTGGTGCTATAACCACAGCCTGAATTTTCCTATTTGCCTTCAAAGAACACTCTAAAAAGTAGTTCTGCAAGTTTTCTGCTGGTGAGTTGAGAGATGAGAGAGAGGTTTCTTTCAGGGGGCAAAGGGCAGTGACTCCTGGAGTTGCTCCCATTGCATCTTCCCGTGCATCCCTGGGAGGGGGCAGAGATGCAGTGTCACCCACTGAGCCAGTAGCCTTCAAAGCACAGTTCAAGATGGTGACATGGGGCCCCATGACCAGGCTGTGTGTAGGTCAACAAAGGCTGCTCAGCTTAGGCTTCAGAGGGGCAAGTCATCCCGGTGCCAAAGCCAGGGAGAGAAGGGTGATTTTTTTTTTGACATCCTTTGGAGTTTTGATCTCCATATTTGGAAATGTTTACCCATTGCTCTGATCTATTGCAAGGGAGGGGAGGTGACTCAGGGTCTGGTGGAAGCAGGATTTGAATTCCTGTAGTAAGGTTTTTTTTTAATCCCCCCCCTTTCTTGTTTTGGAAGCTTGTTGTGGTCAGTTTTCAGTTCTCTCTTGCTCCTGGACCTTGTTCTAAATTTGATCTGCTCGAGAGGGAAGCGTGTTAACGAAGGAGCTTGCCTGGATGCTGGTAAGTGCATCACTGCTGTTTTAGCAAGCAACTTGGGATTTTTTTTTTTTTTTTTTTTTTGGTGTTGTTTAGTCAAATGGATTGCATCAAACTGTGTGCCTTGCTGGTGGAGACAGGCATGTAGATCACCAGTCAACAGCAAGGGACCCAATGAAACCTTCTGTAGTAGGGAAAGATAACTTAGTGGATTGGTCTCAAAGACAAAATGTTTCTTCAGGAGTAGGTTTAAAGATAATTTAAGCCAGCTCCCATTCCATCACGCTCTTCCTTTTAGTTTCATTGGTTAATGCAGCAAGGCAGCAGAGCACTGTAGAGTTAAATAAGTATATATGCATGTGGTCAGCAAGGAAAACATAGCTTATGTATGATTTCTGTCTCTTAAGCAATAGTGTGTGTTAAAAAGGCTGCATAATGCATGGATATATTTCTCTCAAATGTTAATATTTAACTGTTAGTTGAAGTTTAGCTACTGTAACTAGATAAAGTTTCAGTGTTTGTTTTTTCGTGTTGTTCTGTATTTTTCTATAGTGTGAAGCTTTTAATCTATCTGATATTGTAGCTGGCTGCTTCTCTTTTTTTGTTTTTTCACTCCCCTTCCCTTCTCTTTTCTGAAAGGAAGCTGCAGTTCATCCAGACAATCAGGGATGTGAGGGTAACCTGGAAGATGCTCTGCTTCTCATTTTCCCAGCTAAAACCATGCTGGGGAATCTGGAGCAGAGATCCACCATCCTGCATTCCTCTTGTCATTTGGAGCATGTAACATATATAGAGTGCTTTTAATGCTGCTCTGGGGGTTATGTAGCTGCTAGTCCTGCACCTCAGATGGAAGGCACTGCACTTCATCCTTTTACTTTGGAAGGAGCATTGGTGACAACTCCTTTATAGTTCCCATTGCTGGTTAGTAATCCTTGTATCTTCTCAGCCAACTGGTATTTTAGGCTGCTTCAAACCTGTCGTTATCATACTCTCTCTATTTTAAATTTCAGACCTTTGTTAGAAAGTTAAACCTCTTATCGATTTTCTTTTGCCCTTTTAAAAAGGGATTAATACTCATTGTGAGGTTTGGTTTTTCCAGAGATGTGGATTTGTAGCAGGTCCTTGAGGTACAAAACTGTCTGGATTATTCTGAACAGGGAAAGATAATTGGCTTAGTTTGCATGAGGATGTATGTGAGATAAAAGGCACTGGGCCTCAAAAAGTGGTGAAGGACTGCAGTGGGGATGTGTTGAGGGTTTGTAGACTTCAGCTACATTTTCCTTCTTGTTATTTCAACAAGCTGCTGGGATTACTGGAGCTTTGGGAGTCAGGGCCTGGCTGGACCGAGCTTGGGACCAGTGAAAAGGAAAGAACTGCTGTCCTAAAGCACGTACAGCCTGAACAGGCAGGAGAGGTGATGAGTTAGGAGATGGGGCACTGGGAATGTGTATAGAGCTACCACAGCACCTGAAGCCTCAGCCCAGCAACTTGCCAGCGGCCACCCATCCCTCTGCTGTGCATGGTGGTGCCGAGTTGTGGAATTCCTGCAGTGAGAGGGTGGTCTGTGTCACTCCTTGTGTGCTGTGCTTTGCCTCTGCGTGTGCATACATGATGCCGTGCTTCTGGTGGCACGTGGATGTGGCGCACCCAGGCTTCTCCAGCTGCTCGTGGCTGAGCTTGGTGTTTTGGGAACAGCACGGTGGGACTGGAAATGATGATGTTCTGTTCCCCTCACAGTTTCCTCCCTTTCCTGCTCACCAGGACAGACTGCTTGTTGGAAGACAAGGATGAGCAGTGCCTGGGTGCTGTAAACCAGGGCTCTGGAAGTGCTAGTCTGTCAAGTCTGGGGAAGCATGTTGTGACTCTTAATGTTCATGTGCTGATCCTTCTCTGTGCAACATCTCATCGCTGCGAGGACGTGACTTGAGAGCTGGATGGTCTGTGAAGGATGAGCTCCCCATGTACTGCCCATGTCCCTGTTCGTTGATGGGTGCTGGGCAGACCTGGGGGAGCTCTGGAGAACGAACGATGCCCAGCTGGGACTGCAGCTGCCAGGGCTCTCCATCTGGTATTTCTCCAGGACCTGAACAGATCCAGTGACCACTGATGCTAACCAGGATCCACAGTGGATTTTCTCCTGCTTCAGGAACAGAGCCATTAAGGGCTGACCTTGTAAATTAATACAGCTGACTAAAGATTTTTTAGCCTGGCACCAGTAAACACTGGAGTCTGAGAAGCCTTCCATGGCACTGGACCTCAAGCTGCTCAGATTGCTCCATGCTTGCCTTTCTTAAGCTTCTCTCAGTCACTCCTAACAATGTGTTAAACACAGAGGACTTGCCTTAGCTCCCATGTAAGGAGGTTTGGTTGGTAGCTCATCCTTCATCTCAGCTGTTCCCCAAATTGATCCAGATCTGGTGTTGTATGGGATGTGGCTAAGGGGTGACACCAACATTGTGTGACTAGAGTGCTGTGAGGGAGTTTAGTATGCACTAAGGGCTGGATGTGTGTACCCCTTGGGCAGGTAAGAGAAGCTGCCTCAGATAGCATGGGGCTAGCACACGTGGGCATGGAAAGGGTGAAGGTTAGAAGCCTCTGCACATTTGGTACTTTGCATTTCTTTAGGCAAAGGTTTCAGAGCTGCTAAACACTAAATAGTGCCTGAAGACTGAGAAAAGCAGCGTCATTCTGGTGTGCAGGCATAGAAACTAGGGCACTGTGTGGCAAATTCGGGAAAAGTATTCCATGTGATGGTTCATGCTCAGCTCTTGCAGACAGGTGGACACTTTGTGACCTTGTGCAGTGTGATACTGTTAAACCCATCTTGTTTGCTGTAATAAAGTCATACTTTTCTGAGCACAAAATATTTCTGCATTTATTGCTTAAAGGTAAACCAAGTGGCATTGAGTATTTCATAAAGCTGATCTATGTTGCTAGCTCGTGATGTGATCCCACCATGTATCATTACTTCAGAAATTTCCAGATGGCACCTTACCTAATTGTGAGGCTGCTCCTTCTTGGGACCTGAGCGGAGTGCAGGCTTTTAAGAAATGTCTGTTGTTATTAGCTTTATAATACATGTTCTCCTGTACCAGCTGTTGCAAGCAGCAGGAGGTCTCACTCACAGCCTAATTCTTCAGTCAGCTTTTAGGGTGGAGACTTTACTTCTGTAAGCTAGGTATTTGCGTTTGGGATGAGATCTCCCAAATTAGAACAACTTGTTTGCCTCCAGTGAGCGTGTTGGTTCAAGGACTAGTGTGCCCAGAAGAGGAAACAGATTGCTCCTGTTGCTTTACCAATGTCCTCAAATAGTTAACTGCGCTTACTGCTTGTCATGGTGGGGGATGACTGTGTTTTAAAGAAATATCAGGTTTCACAAGCCTGGCTGCCTGTGGTGGAGAGGAAAAGAGTCCTTGCACTGTGCTGTCTCATACCTCTCCTGCTAAAATATCAGAGGGACAAGTTCTGGTGAAGCTGCCTGGTTTTGGCAGCCACTTTCCTCCTACATCCTTGTTCTTCAGGTAAATCCCTCTTCAACTTGATTAGCTGTTCCCCTTTCCTCCCTGAAAAGTCATCATCATCCCTTGAAATTAAGGAAAAGACAGGAGGAGGGAATAAATGGATGTTAAGAAGTAGAAAACAATCAATTAAATAGTACATAGCGTGTAATTTTCCTTGGAAACTTACCATGAAATTGAGGAGCAGTTGAACAACTAGTAATTTAAATTGCATTTGAACACTGCTAATGAGTTGTTTGCATGGGAATTTTGGTCATTTCACAGCAGGTTGTTGTCTTTAGTACCCCTTTATTCAGTTAAAAAAAAAAAAATCTCATGATGAGGAAGGTGCTGTAGACAACTGGTCCAACTGTTCTTAGTAAAAGGTGTACCATGGAACTTTTGCCACACCTTGTTAGATTTGGAGCCATTTACATCCTTAGCATCAGTTCTTCCAGCGTTTAAATTCATGGTAATTTTGTGCTTTTTATCTAAAAAAGCTTGTTATTGCTAACAAGTAGGTAAATAACATTATCACTGTTGCACTCACAAACATGACAGAGTCAAGAGGGCTGAAGAAGCTCCTCCTGGCTCCTGGGACTGAGGTTTGCAGCTGTGGGACGGACCTAGGAATAAATCCTGTGGCTCAGTCCTTATCACCTCAAACAGATCATAACAGTGCTTTGGGATCTGATCCTGGCTTGCTCCATCTTAAAAGGAACAACAGAGAGGTGCTTATTTGCTGTGCCTGCAGGGTATTTGTATTTAATTTAATAGTCTTATTTTTCCAGTGTTTAATGCTCTCCTCCACCACTGTTTTACTTATAAAATGCCAACTATTTTCAGCAAAAGGCAATATCAACCTAATCATGTGCTATATTGCTGCTGAATGTGCTGGGAACAGACTCTATAGGAAGGCAAATGCAAGTTTCTTATCGCCTGTTGCTGAATGAACATCCCATTTTCAGAGCAGGGTTTTTGCAAATCCGTGGGCATGCTTAGCATATGGAAGGGGGTTCCAGTATCAAAACAAATCTGGCCTCCTGTTTCTGGATGTGTAGGTTGTTTCTTAGAAGATGGAACCTTTAAAATCTGTCCCTGCAAACATGGCTGTTATATCCTGCTATTTCTAGAGGTGTGAGGCAGCTGTCTGTACTGAGATAAGCTATAAAAAGGCAATATTTTCCCAAACCAGCTTTTTTAGCTATACCTGCCAGACATCTTGGCCAGAGGGAGTTCACTGGGAGTGTCACCACTGCTGCCCTTTTATGCATAGGGTGCTGAGCGATGTAAAAACTTCTGGGCAAGTCTTCAGGGTCAGTGTTAAACACCAGCTCTTCCACCTCTATCTGGTGAAACGCTGCTATGCAGGAAGGTGCATTCAGAGCAAAGGAAGGAGTGCTTACTGATTTGACATTCTTTTGTCATCTCCTGTTGTTTTCTAGGTGATTGCTTTGTCATTGTCTGTTCTTTATTTTCATTATGTCTTTCTTGTTGCTGACTCAGTGACCATCTCTAATCACAGGG